TTTGCTTTCACTTCGTACACAAATAATTACGAAACATCGCTATGAGCTACTTTCAAAATTAATTCCGCCCAAAAGTGTGTATCTTCTATACAAAGACGTGAAATATAATCAATTCCTTAGGGGTAGGGCGAACTTGCCGCGCGTTAAACCTATTAATTAATTAAAAGGCGTCTAAATCTGCTGGTAACATCTGGTTTCGGTACTTTAAACGATCACTTAAACCATTTGATTAATAATCATTATTTTAAGAGTGGGGGTTTTCACTTTTACTTAAATGTGAGAAACACTCTCACAGAATCTAAAAATGTTCCAAAACCCACTCGTGGGTATTGCCGCGTAACACAAAGTATTGAAACGACGCATCGTCACCAAAAGCACACAAAATGTCGAATCTGCATATTGAAGCACGTCCACGTTCAGAGAAAGAGAGGAGTTAAATAAGTAAAATAAAGTTTCAAAGAAATATTACCATACATAAGAAAGTTGGCTATGAGCAGTCTGTGCAGTCACTGCGTATGCCCACATAATTTTTACTATGTGCGAAATGTTTGCCTTTACTAGAAGCATTTGTGGTTAAAATTTCAAAGAAATATCTCCATAAATAAGAAAGTTAGCATTGCGCAGTCACTGCGCATACCCACATAATTTTTACTATGTGCGAAATGTTTACCTTTACTAGAAGCATCTATGGTTAAAATTTCAAAGAAATATCTCCATAAGTAAGAAAGTTAGCATTGCGCAGTCACTGCGCATGCCCACATAATTTTTACTATGTGCGAAATGTTTACCTTTACTAGAAGCGCCTGTGGTTAAAATTTCAAAGAAATATCTCCATGACCATAAATAAGAATTTTGGCACTGCGCAGTATGCCCACACATCACTGCGCATGCCCACACATTATTTTTACTATATGCGAAATGTTTGCCTTTACTAGAAGCGTCTGTGGTTAAAATTTCAAAGCAATATCTCCATAAATAAGAAAGTTGGCATTGCGCAGTCACTGCGCATGCCCACATAATTTTTACTATGCGTTTATCTTTACTAGAAGCGTCTGTGGTTAAAATTTCAAAGAAATATCCCCATAAATATGAAAGTTGGCATTGCGCAGTCTGCGCAAAATATGGAGTTAAATAAAACTGATCGAATTGGGCAAATATAGACCATAACAGCTATCAATTAGCGAAAACCCGAAGTCTCTAGGTGGCCCAGGGGCCGAGATCTCGATGGAACGGACGGACGGACGGAAACACGAGCACATAAGCTTTACCTCAACTTCGTTGTGTTACGCTAAAAATGGCAGGAATTTAGAAATTCATATTCTAAGTGTGCGCAGGGCTATATACAAATTGGTTTTGTACCATTTTGATCTATCAAAATTTTGAAATCTTTGATTTTTAATCATGGAATATCAGAATCGGCGGCCAATTGGCAATGAAAAGTAACCCAAAGAGATACTATATAACCAGAAGGTCCTGTGGGACAAATTTAACAATACCTATATAATTATACAGTGAGGAAAATTGGTCTGGAGCAATGAATATTCAAAACTACAATTTTTGCAAAGAAGTCTTTATTGTACCCACAATTATTACGTACTTTAAGTTTGTGGTCAGTGGCGTACTTCTGCATGGTCAAGTGGGAAATATTTCTTTAAATGGCGACTATTGGTTTTCATTACATATTATTAAAGTCTATTTCTCGTCTGTAATCTTTTTTTCGTTTGTAATTATGCCTTGTGCTGTTTGGTGGGAAATAAAAGCAATTATTATTACTATTACTATTTTTGGATATAGCAGCTTAAAAGGTGTGCACTACAAGAATATGTCATAAAAATAGTAGTTGCTATTAAAAAATGTATATGCCCACCTTGACTGACCACAATTTTAAGGTAGATTGGTCGCAAACTTTTTATAATTTTGAATCTACTACTTTAAAAAAATACATATATTCAGTGTTCCGTACAAAATTTCCACCTTGTATACAGTAAGACGTCGATTATCTAAACTTGGGACCGGTACTTGTTCGGATAATCAAAAGTTCGGTTAATCAAACAGTAGTTACAAAAATGAAAGAAGATGAAAAAAAAAGAGTGCAAATTTGAATCAACTATTATGTTTTAAAAAATTACTTTGTGTAGTAAAATAGTTTCAAATAAAAATAGAGTATAGAATTCAAAATAACTACGTACAGTACAACAGTATCGGAGACCACACTACAATACACACAGGAAATAGCAGCTAAGAAGGCGAGAGCGCCATATAGCCCATAGGTGCAAGTGGGAATCGTCATCTCTCGCCTTCTTAGCTGCCGGTTCCTGTAGTGTTGTAATAAGTATTTGTTAATTAAGCGCTCCTACTTGACTGATAGGTCATTGTCTCGACCGAGTTATTTTCATCCACATTTTGACATTCCCAAAAAAAGCAAAATTTCGGACCATTTCTATTATCGTCTTAAAACGATGTTACTTATGCTGCTCAGTTGCACCTACACAGTAGACAAAATGACTAGTTGCAAATAACCGTCGACTTCATTATGATTTTTATTTCTGAGAGCAATTGGCGCACAAGACAGCTTGTTAAAAAAAATACCTGACCACAATGACTGGCACACACATTTCTGCTGCCCTTATCCACTGGGGCAGCGACGGTGACCAAGTTCCTATCGCACAAAATCAATCTCAATAATCTTATTGTGGTTAAATAAATTGGATTAATCATTTCATGCGGTTCGCAACTAATGAAAGTAGACTGATCAACCACGCTCAAACATTGCTAGTGGTTTTTGGTGTGTTCGATCCAAAGTAGACTTTGCATTATGAATCCCCCAAACTAAATTAATTTTTGGGTTGGTGTCCACTCTATGGTGCCAATCAGAAGAATGGGATTTAGATTCAGCAACTAATTTCGCAAAACAGAATGTAAGAATTATCTACTTTGCCCTTCATTGTACGTATATAAATATATAATATACGACAGTACTCAAGATAAAGGATGCATTACGTACTCCAATCTTAAAAACAATTAAAAGTGTGACGTTAAGGGGAAGACCAAAGAGTATATCGTCCCACTATTAATAAATAAGATAGCGCGTAAATTTGCGTTAATACTAAGGTTAATAAAGGACAAACAGCACAACCGTTAGTGCTACGCGCGCCTAGAATCTTCAAAATCGCGCGCGGTGCCGCACGTTGGCATGATCTTTTCCGACTCCCTGTCGATAGGTAGCTTATCAAAGATTACGTCAACTGGGAGACTATGACTAAGCGAACGTTATCTTTTCCTTCTTTTTTCTTTTAGCAGATTTTTGACGTCATGTATCAATAACCTTCACTTTTGTCGGTTTAAATCCAGCAGAGTGCGCCTTCGGTCGACAACGAAAAACGTCAACGTTGCCACAGTAACTTTGAACTAATTTTTATGCGTTCTTACCTATTTTTATCCCAGAAAAATTTATGCGTGTCTTTAAACTTTAAAGGCGGTAAAGATAGAATCAAAATGTTTAGATTTAAATATAGAATTTTCTCTGAAAAGTACGCGTTAGCGTTGTAATTTTCAGTAAAGCGCACGTTTTGTCTACTTGGAAAATTAATAATCCTTCCAATTTCAATTTGTTAATAGAGAATTCGTGGCCTTGATGAATATGTATGTGTAAATCTCATGGTTTGGGCAGCATGTACGCGTAATTTATATTAGAAAGCGAACGACATCTCATTAACGGGAAGGTTGTCTACGTGTTACTTTATTAGATCAATAATAATATACCTACACATGAAAGGGTACGACCCCGTTTTCCCAATTGTAAATAATTACCTATCAACCCCCTATACGCAATTTTGTTTATTCCAGGTTTAGGGTAGGCAACTTGTGACGTTGTCTCCGCGTTTGCAGGTCCAGTAAAAAATTAACATAACGACTATTGACTGAATTATAATCATTTCCCGGCAACGCGAATTGTTCTGGATTTGACCGCGAATTTAGAAAATTATTTCGCGCGAACGACGATCGGGTAGTGACACCTGTCGACGTGCGAACGAATTGCTTAATTGACACTATCATTTCGCTCATTGAATAGGTCTTGGGATGGGAATTTTGCTCACAATTGCGAAATTATGTATATAAATAAGGCTTATGTAATAGAGTAATGCGTAGATTATCAAATTAAGAATTATGTTAGCGCGCTTTGCGTCAAAGAAAATGCTTTGTAAAAGAAAAGGCGCCATACAGCGTGACAGAATCCCCAAAATTAACCGCATTTATTAGGGATGCCAACCATATACCTGTAACCTCTAGCATTCCTCTACATGAGCACCTTCACTTGAGGGATAGGGGTTGTGACAATTTGTGAAATGGGCATTTGGATGCAAAAAAAACAGATTAAAACCTCAAAATAAGAAGTGTATTTAGTTACATAAGCTATCTATGAACTAGTACGTTTGCAAAGGATTGGACTCTTAAGGCTTTGAAGGAAATTCCAGACGTTCACACATAAAGCCTTGTAAAACGCTTTGATGTGGGTTTAATATGTAATTTCACAAGTAAATAAATTCAATTCACATTTTAGTTAGGTTCAATATTCTTTCCAATGAATGGTGGATTTATACAATCATTATCATTAGTTCACTAAGCCCAGGATGGTTTCGTTGGCTAGCAACGCCCAATAAACCCTTATTTCCATTCGCTATTTCTTAATTATTTTTGATAGTGAACTAATGACATTGATTGTGTAAACCCAACATTATTAATTTTGGCAAACGTGCTATTTTAGGAAAAGAGTTCGATGTTAAAAAATCGGTATGTGGTACCTATTCTCCACTACTGAGCGGAATACATGGAGATGTGTTTGTCAGTTGTTACCACGAATTGTTACTGCAGAATAAAACGCCTTATCCTGTGGTTGTTACAAAAAACTTATAACTGCGACGAACTTCGGTAACGCACAAAGGGCTTGAAATTAAACTACACGATTAGTGGTATTACAATAAAATTTAATTTATCACACAAAAAAAATAAACTTATTTGACTTAAAAATGACCTACAATTGAACAAAACGAAAACGGTCTAAAAAGCACGACAACATACAAAAAAATGCAAATCCCCTCTAAATCATACTGCTACCTTATATAGAATTCCCAAAAATATTTGGAAATGAAACTCGGATTTCCCAGCCGGTCGACGTACTCGGATAATAACGTCCTGGCGTCTTAAAGAACGGAGACTAATCTTGCAGTTCACGTTAATTGAGCGCGCATCATTTGATACTAGACCCAATCTAATCAGACGAGCTGCAGCACATCTCATAAGCTACCGGTATTTATGCTCACTCAAATGGCCGAGCTGAAATTTCCAAATTCGGTAGCCTAGGAATGCCCACTGTTCCATCGAATTTGGGGTCAATCGTAAAAGCTTTGCGATAATGAAATAAACTGCATGGCCTTGCAGCATTAATGCTCGTTTTAACGGAGCTGAAATCCTAAAATATTAATTCTTCCCCTGATTCTCCATGGCGAGGGTTGCCGGATGCTACAAAAATAATTTACTATCTCTGCGGGAACAATTCGAAACTTCACAGTTGTGTTCGGCAGAGCTGGTTTTCCTTATCGGCGGCTAAAACACGACACTAGAAATCAAAGCAATTACTTTAGCTTCTCTCAGTAAAAAAAAACTATATAGGTCCAGAAACTACAGTGTCTCGTAACGAAGCGCCCGTTTCAGTTCGTTACATCACAGTACCAAGTGTTCATTATCAAAGCTGGTACCTTTCATCAATTCCATCATTAACATTGGTATAATCCCTTGTACGAAAACGGGTGCTTCGTTACAGAACTGTAAATATTGGGTGTGTTCACCAAAACTAATTGTTTGCCAACCATATGCGTTTTTTAGCGGTTGCCATTTTTTAAATGGATAAAAATTAGCGCAGCAATTAGTTTCATTAATTCTGTTTTCTTGATAAAATTACAGCAGAAAGCAGAAAAAAAATAGGGATGAACGAGGTCAAGAGCAGACCAACAAAATTAAGTTTTGTTACGTGGTGTACGAACGGAAAAATTCAAATTTTTGAAAAAAAAATCTTTAAATGGAACTTGAGACGTAGATCGCGATAAACCCAGTGATTTTGGAAAAACACCCGATGCGAGTGTAAAAAACAATTGACGACGACGGAGAACCTCACACTGGAATTACATTTAAAAAAATACCCGTGCGAGTCTCTTCATGATAAAGACGTGTTCTAGATAAACAAAAACCCTTAAAACTTTGGTCATCCTTGACTCCCTTATCTGTTACAATGAAACCAAAGTGGACATTTACCGCAACCGCGTATAGTAAGTGGTGGAAATTGCCTTCTGCAAATCCGATGTACAAAAAAACACATTATATTGGATTTGGACCTGGGGTTTAGGGATGACTTAATTTTAAAAAGCCAGTGGCGTAGACTCCCCAAGTATATCAGCATTATCAGAAAAGAATAAGTTGACCAAACCATTTCCATGTGACCAAGTAGGATTACGAACCATCCACAATGCAGTTGAAACGTTAGAAGAAATATGCACTATATGCCACTATCAGAAATGTTTAGGTGTAGGTGAACCAAATGAGGTTGGTAAGAGGCTGGCAAAGCAACTTCATCGTAGGAAACCCCTCATTCATATTAACTACTAAATCGTGCAAACCTTGGAGGACATCAGGGTCAAAAGATTCCAAAGTTTAAAGCATTGGAGTTGTTGATGTGGGGCTTGTTTGGCAACCAAAGCGCTTTTTTTTACATATTCATTTTGCATGAAGGGTACACCCCTCGAGAATTATAAACCGCTGATGTGTAAACTAGGAAAGTTGATTTTAAGGCATAACGGTAACAATTTCATTCAAATTAAAAACTGTAAGGGTTGTTTTATACCGAAATAAATAATCATAGAGCGGGACTTTGATATTGGTATGGGCACCACTCGCGAAACAAAGGGGAATAATCTCGTGTAAAGTAAATGTTCCTTCCGATACCGTTTAGAGTACGGAATTTAAATTTATTTAGATTACTCTTGCGAGACCCGCCCTTTGCAAGAGGGAGGAAAGTAACTAAACGACTTTTCGTAATTTACGCGGATTACTATCTGTAAATCTGAACGGTTGCCTCATTGAAATTAAGGTGCAAGTCCGTTCAGTCACGATTTGAACCTCGCTAACCTGTAACATTCTTGATCTACATAAGGAGTACGTCACGGTGCGGTGCCCGTTGTACGTAATTTCCTCAAGAGAGCGTAAAAAGAACATACTCAATCCAAACTGTTATTGATTACGCCCTTCGCTCGATTATCTTCTTATCTCTACGAACTTCGCGTAGGACGCACCTTTTACACCACGCTGACGTAGTATATATATACGTGAACGGGGAACTGAATGAATGAGACCTTTTTAAAGGTGGGGAGGAGTAAAATCCCTCGCGCGGGAAAGGGTCGCGTGATAAATGACGTTGCGGGGGTGGATGTACTCCCACCATCTCACCCAACTATTGATCTCGTATAGCACGGAGTTTAATTGGATTTTACGTAATTTGATATGATTTTTTTGTGTTCCGTTGTTCGTTTGTTGCCAGACTCGTTTTTAAGCGCACAACCTACGCGAATTCTTAAGATTGTGAAATAATAATCGATTCACCATAATTAATTTCATCTGTACCAAAAAATAAAGGAACAAATTGTATGACATCCAACAGGTGATGAGTTGACGCTATCAATTAAACTCATTGAAGCGCTGAAAGGTACTTCTTCTTCAGCGTCGTACCTAATACCCTCCACTGTGCATTACTATACAGTATCAGTTCAGTTCTTCATAGTGAAAAAGCCTGGAAGGCTGCGGCGTACATTGCTTTGCTTGGAACTTGGGTTTCCTGTCCCTTGCGCAAAGCATTGGCTGGATTTAATTTTAGATTTGAAATGAAGAATTCGCTGGTTTTTACGGATGGTACCTAAACCTGCCCATGTTAGGTTGGATCTTTTGTTTTACCTACCATCTCCGCTTTTGCACCACTTCCTCAAAAGATTAAACAGAATGCAACTCGAAGAGGTAGAGGATCGATTGACGATTGGTATCAATACAAAGAACGTCAATGAGGATTTAAAATAAAATGATTCGACAACTTATTATAGAGCGTATAAAATGACAATAAAGGGTTGGATAAACTGCAGATCTGTTTGCCAACATCCATAATTTATATCATTTTATCCCTGAACTAAAAACTTTCGCTTTTGGGCAAAGGCTAGTTTTTTAGAACTGCAATATTACAAGAAATTGTTAAGCTGTTTTTTTATTCAATGCTAAAAATCACAGAAACAGCTCTTTGTAATTTTACATAGAAAGATATAATAAAAACACCCCAAAAATGTTTGTGTCGCCTTTCGAGATTCATAATAAAGTACAATTAAGTAATAAGAAATTATCAATAATTTAAAAATTGTTCAGTCCTTAATGTCGATAATTTATCATCAGGAGAGTAGGAAATTTAAAGGATTACGGTGAATGTTTAACCGAATATCATGCTGCCATCTTCCGCGGCTAGTTGGCGATGCAGCTCATTAAAATAATTTGTAGGTACCGTACTTTATTTAAAGGCTAATGACCATTGCAAGTTATTAAATCAGAACATTTAAATCTTTTAAAATCAGCCCCAAATCTAAGGATTAAATAATTTAGTACAAAAAGAAAGTAATAAAAGAATTAGGTATAAGAACATTAAATGACCGTGGTCCACTTTCTCTTCGTTACCTATAATAAGAATAAGAACTCTGGCTAGGAAATAATAATTATATTGTATCCTCTCATTGTGACCTCGAATCGATATAACTGAATAAGTTTTGCTAGCCAAAAATGTAATTCTTTCATATTTGTTGGGCACGTAAGTAACTTGTCTCATTATTTTCGATTCGGGCATTGATTTTATCTTACGAACGTATAAGGTATATAATCGCTACGATTTGGGTAAATAAGGCATGAATTACAAAGTGCGTTCGATTAAAAAATAATTTTCTCCCTTAGTTATTTGTGGTCAGATCATTCATAAAAGTGCGTTACTACCAAAGACCATGTGATTACTATTGTTCCACCGTTGCGCCTTTTCAAAGCAAGAAGGAATAACTATTAACTACCGCTAATTTATCCTTACTAAATTTTCATTATTGAATTAATAGGGGAATTTTTTTACCGCGTTCGAAACCAAAAAATGCATATAGTGCACTGATCACTGATTATTAATTGCTTTTTAAATAATGTAGTGTATACCTAATTTCTTATCTTCCTCATCCCCCTATGAGTCCTATAGCTATAGCACTGTTTCTAAACAATGACTAGAGAGGTACTAAAGATATTTATCTAATTTCAATGTCTCAAATCTTTGATGATGTACCTATGTACCACCTATCCAATTCAAAGGTCTCATATTATTCAAATCATATTTTTTTAATATATTGATTCAAATTTGTCGGTAATCAGGCGACATCTAGCATAATTCCCGAAAGTAAAAGTTTTGTAGTAATCAACTGCCATCTTCTATCGGAAGATAGAATTTTACATTAGTGATGGCGCTGGCGGTAATTTAAGTTATTACAAAACGAAAAGGAGGTAGAATACCTACCATCGAGGGTTGCAATAAGGAAGGCCTGAAATAAAGCAAATGCTTTAGATACATGCCGAGTCATCGCCAGTTAATCAAACCATACCTCTGTGTAGATTAAGGTAGCAGGAAAGCAGGAAAACTACAAAGCACTCCAGAAGTCATCATTTCTCCCTACGATACCATCGAGGGTTGTAATATGGAAGGCCTGAAATAAAGCAAATGCTCTAGCTAAATGCTGGGTCATCGCCAGGTGATCAAATCATACCTCTGTGTAGATTAAGGTAGCAGGAAAGCAGGAATACTACAAAGGACTCCAGAAGTAATCATTTCTCCCTACGATACCATCGAGGGTTGTAATATGGAAGGCCTGAAATAAAGCAAATGCTTTAGATACATGCTGGGATAGCGCCAGTTAATCAAACGATACCTCTGTGTTGATTAATGTAGCAGGAAAGCAGGAAAACTACAAAGGACTCCAGAAGTCATCATTTCTCCCTACGATAGGTACCATCGAGGGTTGTAATATGGAAGGCCTGAAATAAAGCAAATGCTTTAGATACATGCTGGGATATCGCAAGTTAATCAAACCATACCTCTGTGTAGATTAAGGTAGCAGGAAAGCAGGAAAACTAGAAAGCACTCCATAAGTCATCATTTCTCGCTACGATACCGTCCAGGGTTGTAATATGGAAGGCCTGAAACAAAGCAAATGCTTTAAATACATGCTGGGACATCGCCTGTTAATCAAACCATACCTCTGTGTAGATTAAGGTAGCAGGAAAGCAGGAAAACTACAAAGGTCTCCAGAAGTCATCATTTCTCCCTACGATACCATCGAGGGTTGTAATATGGAAGGCCTGAAATAAAGCAAATGCTTTAGATACATGCTGGGATATCGCCAGTTAATCAAACGATACCTCTGTGTTGATTAATGTAGCAGGAAAGCAGGAAAACTACAAAGGACTCCAGAAGTCATCATTTCTCCCTACGATACCATCGACGGTTGTAATATGGAAGGCCTGCAATAAAGCAAATGCTTTAGATACATGCTGGGATAGCGCCAGTTAATCAAACGATACCTCTGTGTTGATTAATGTAGCAGGAAAGCAGGAAAACTACAAAGGACTCCAGAAATCATCATTTCTCCCTACGATACCATCGAGGGTTGTAATATGGAAGGCCTGAAATAAAGCAAATGCTTTAGATACATGCTGGGATATCGCAAGTTAATCAAACCATACCTCTGTGTAGATTAAGGTAGCAGGAAAGCAGGAAAACTAGAAAGCACTCCATAAGTCATCATTTCTCGCTACGATACCGTCCAGGGTTGTAATATGGAAGGCCTGAAACAAAGCAAATGCTTTAAATACATGCTGGGACATCGCCTGTTAATCAAACCATACCTCTGTGTAGATTAAGGTAGCAGGAAAGCAGGAAAACTACAAAGGTCTCCAGAAGTCATCATTTCTCCCTACGATACCATCGAGGGTTGTAATATGGAAGGCCTGAAATAAAGCAAATGCTTTAGATACATGCTGGGATAGCGCCAGTTAATCAAACGATACCTCTGTGTTGATTAATGTAGCAGGAAAGCAGGAAAACTACAAAGGACTCCAGAAGTCATCATTTCTCC